GTTTTAATTCTTACTTACATTTTCATCACAATTCGGTCCACAACACACAAAAACCATTGTCCTATTATAGTTTATAATCAATTAACAATAAATAAAATACAACAATATCATAACACCATCCACAAAACAAAATAAATTCAAATAGTAAATGATAAACTTGGTTCCTGTTTTATCAACAACACCCAAGATTCCTAGATGCTAGCGCCAAAATGGCAAGTGTATGAACTATTGCGTAATCCTCCCCCACCACAGAGAGTGCGCAGCCCCTGTTCGTCTACTTTGAAGATAGACCAGGGCGGATCTGTCGAAATACCCCACTTCTTGGATGTAAGAGGGGGCAAGCTAATTTTTGCTGGAATACCTTCAGTACAACTCACATAATAAAAATGTAGATCCCTAGATCTGGGCGAGGTCCGGAACATTTTCAAAATTGCAAATATGTTTAAAATTTTTTTAAAAATACCTATTTTATCTGAGTTTTTTACTTATATCTTGGAACCTATGCATTTTGGAAGAACATTGAAGAGGAAAAAAGTTTTAGAATTGAATTTTGCACAATATACTGTAAGTTAAAAGTGTTTAAATTTATTGCCAATGTTGCAAAATAGCTATAATTGATGAAAAAAGGCAAAATAATCAAGTTTTTTGAATATTTTTTTTCATATTTTAATTGCTCCGAGGGCATTCTAATTTTGGTAAAAAATAACTTTAGAGTATAATAAAACAACACACTAAATTTCATGAAAATCGGTTCGACGATTTTCGCAAAATAATTTTTTGAAAAAAATTTTGAAGAAAAGTGTTCGAATTTTTAAAATGTTGCACAACTTCAAATAAAACATCTAGATAATTGAAAATTTTTTCACATAGAAAAGACCGTTCAACTTTTCAAATGGTTTTTGAAAAATTGAAATCGGTTGATTAGGACGGCCACAGTAAATTTTTAAAGTAAGTTAACACTCTTTTTTTTAATTTTTAAACAATTTGATTACATTCATCAATTTGCAATTTGGTTTTTTTCAAAAATTATAATTTTAAAGTACTATTTTTTCTTAATTTTAACTGTATTTAACAAAAAAAATTATTTCCAAATAAAACTCTTTTTTTTATTTTGTTTAAACAATAATTATACTTACTATAATTTATGAAACAATAAAAAAAATTAGTATTTCTAATTAAAAAGCTGTGTTCTCTATCAAAATTACTTCTTACGTGAATTTTGGGACACGTTATATTAGTAAAAAATATTTCATGAACACATTGTTTTTGACTAATAATAATTCATTAAAAAAAGTCACGACCAGTAAAAAGCTTATCTAGTTTCTGTACTTAGCTCATCTTCACTGCCACATATAATTTGATTAAACTTTCTTTTCAAAAACTGTATGATGAGATTATACGTCAAAAATCGAATTTATTATTTATTTCTTTGTTTTTTTGTTTGTTGGATTATTTGTTTACTTGCTTGCTTGTTTGTTCATTTATTTGTTTATCTCTTTGTTTGTTTGTCTGTTTGTTTGTTTATTTGTTTGTTCGTCTCTTTGTTTGTTTGTTTGCTTGTGTGTTTATTTGTTTGTTCGTCTCTTTGTTTCTTTGTTTCTTTGTTTCTTTGTTCCTTTGTTCCTTTGTTCCTTTGTTCCTTTGTTCCTTTGTTCCTTTGTTCCTTTGTTCCTTTGTTCCTTTGTTCCTTTGTTCCTTTGTTCCTTTGTTCCTTTGTTCCTTTGTTCCTTTGTTCCTTTGTTCCTTTGTTCCTTTGTTCCTTTGTTCCTTTGTTTCTTTGTTTCTTTGTTTCTTTGTTTCTTTGTTTCTTTGTTTCTTTGCTTGCTTGCTTGCTTCCTTGCTTGTTTGTTTGTTTGTTTGTTTGTTTGTTTGTTTGTTTGTTTCTTTCTTTCTGACTAATTATGACCTCCATTCAATGTTACACCCTGACGTACCTTTATTGTCTGAATTATTTTTTACTTCACTGCTATATTTCTAAAAGGATTCTGGTTTAGCATTAATTTAATTTTGAATATCATTAATATACAGGGTGTTTCTTAAGTAGAGGTCAAAGATTCAGGGGCGTATTCTGTGGACAAAAATAAGGGTTTTTTTTTGTGATATAAATGTGGGGTCTTAGTACACCTATTGTCCAGCTACAACGTGTCAAAAATGAAAAAAAATCAGTTTTTAATTTTTTATTTCTAAACCGCTTGAGATAATTTAACCAAATTCGGTGTGCATTTAGTATGACAGTAGGTATGAAACAAAAAATTACCAGCTTTAGAAACTCACCAGTAGCGGAGGTGAGGGTATCATCAATCATTATTTGTCAAAATCGCCCTGTATAATATTACGAATAAAATGGATTATAGTGATGCAGATAATATAAGTTAGCCTAAGTTCCAAATTTGAGTTACATACTCAAAAACTGTGTTAGATGCAAAGAAAAAAACAGAAAAATTATTGAAACTTTAAAACCCTGGACCATTGTATCCAAACATTTACAGACATATGTTTACATAAATTTTTTATTTAAAATCATGCACAGATTCACCCCCCGAATGAAGACATACTATTACGAAGCACCCTGTATACGAAATCGTTTCCTTTTCAAACCACTTCGAATGTTACAAATTTATTTAAAACTTCGTAAATACGAGTAAAAAATATTCCATCTACCTCATCTACATTTTTTAAAAATCACCTTTCTTGTAATAATTATATTCGGCATTAAAGGTTATGTGTAAAATAATGAGGACATCAAACCTGACCAATTACAGACGCCATTATGACCTACGTGACCTTACCAGTGACATATCTGACAATTTCAGGCGGATGGGAGAGAATACGTTGAATTCTATTTTATCCTTCTCTGTCTCTTCAGAGTTAGATGTCAGGTAAGCTTTAAGGAAGTACTTCACGTAGCCATATTTTCCCATATAGCTACTGGGAATGCTCTTGGGCAGCATCAGTGAGAAAGGAAACTTTCGTTCGCCAGTACTGAAGAACCCTAGAAAATAGTTGTGTGTGTAACTACTGTGAAACAGCGCCAAAGAAGAAAAAAATTTTATCTGCTCCCACTACAGTAAATAGACTATTAATACATAGTTTTTAAGGAAATAAGTGGATTTTACCTTAGAAGTGGAAGTTGCTATGGACAATGGGTGGTAAAGTGAGAGAACTAATTGTCACATTTTTGGATAGGACAACTTCCCCCGTGGGCATAGGCACTTGGTATTTGAAACGCCCTGTATTCTTACCTGATCCTACGGTGGCATCTTCTGTTTGTAAAAAATTGTGTATCCAACATCGAACAATTGGACTGGAACGATTTTTACTCGGTTCAGTATAATAAGTACATTCTTTTCCCACCAGTTTGATCTTCACTTCTAGAATGAGAACGAATATTAGTGGATTGAAAATATCTACAGGGTGTCTGATAAGAACATGATCAAGAAGGCAATATTCTTTGGCTCAAAAGAAGACGATTTGACCTAACTTCCATTAAGAAAAAATGTCTGGCTCCTCTGCTATTGACTGTCAAAGTTCTTGAAAAAAAATAAGTTTTTTGTAATATCTGGAGAATGTTATTATGTTATTAATATTTTTATTGATGCATCAGTCCTTTTTCGAGATTTTCGTGCTCTTGGTAAAATCTTGTAGCATTCACAGTTTTTATGCAAAAATTTTTTTTCAGGTTTAGACAATCATTATCACTACTACTCAAGTACAACAAATACTCACTACAATCTCTACTATCGTAGTAAGTATCTTGGTGAAATCTTGTAGCATTCATAGTTTTTACGCAAAAAACTGTTTTCTGTTTCGATGCGATTTAACAATTTTAAATATATCGCAGTAAATCTGCCCTTTTACCCAGCTTTCTCTAATAATAATTGCCAATTCTTTTACCTAGGATATCAATATTGAAAGTAAAATGGTCGCAACTTTAAAGTATGTCGCAATGCGACGGATTGAATATCATTTTACTACATTAGATTTATTTTTTAACACCCAAAAAATGTAAAGACGTACTTAGGAAAGACATAATTCTCTTTATTGAAACTTGATGATAGTTACATAGATGCGATAGATGATGGTGGAATTACAAGACATGTTCGATATGCCCCCCATTTTCTTAGATGCATAGCTGGATCCAATTGAAACTAAATTGAGCCATCCTCAACATTTTTGCATCTTTCCGTATTACATCCGCCTCGTTTTGAATCCTACGCAATAATTCTTCCTGGGATTCCACAGGGGTAGCGTAAACTTTATTCTTCAAGGCTCCCCATAGAAAAAAATCTAACAACGTTAAGTTGGGGGACCTGGGGGGCCATTCGACAGGAACATCTCTCCCTCTTCTTCCGATCCACTTGTGTGGAAAAGTATTATTTAAATGTGCAGTTACATTTGCACTAAACTGCGGAGGAGCACCATCGTGCATCAACCATATCTGAGCACGAAGAACGAGAGGGACATCTTCCATTAGAACCGGAAAGGTATTCGTCAGAAAATTGATTGAAGAGGATGTCACCGATGATCCCGGCCCAAACATTTACTGGAAATTCCACCTGAAAGTGGTTAATACACCTCACATAAGGGATTTCTTCTGCATAATGGTGAATAAAATTCGGCTGGTGAAATTTGGATCGCGTGCTGACGCTCCTTAAATAAAAGGGCGAAATTGAGTCTTCTCTCAAAATGGTACAGTAAAAGCTCCTGAATAGACGTCGCATGATAAGGATGGAGAAGCTGCTGTCTTATGATGCGGTGAGTTGTACTTTTTGGTACGCCAAATTCCACTATCAGACGGCGAGTACTGATATTTGGATCTTCAGCGACCCTATTTAAAACGTCTCCCTCAACTGCTGCGTACTTGAGGACGATCCACACAGTCAACAGCTCGAACACCAAATTGCTCAGTCTCCCAATCCATGTAAATCGGTAATTTGGAACCCGTCGATTTGGGTATTGCGCCGCGTAGACGCGCACACTCCCGCCCAAGTTGTCTTCGCAAAACCCTAAGACTTTGATCAGTCGGTCATCTCTTCATTAGAAAACGCCATTTGAAACGAATTGATTGACAATTCATTTATTATAAAATGACATCATCGCTTACTACGATAGTAGTAATTGTAGTGAATGGTTGTTGTACTTGAATAGTAGTGATAATAATTGTCTAAAATTGAAAAAAAAATTGCGTAAAAACTATGAATGCTACAAGATTTTACCAAGAGCACGAAAATCTCGAAATAGGACTGATGCATCAATAAAATAAAATAAATTAATTCCAGCGACCAAATAAAAAGCTCTGGTAATTCTTGTACCACGACACTCAAAAATTTACCACTAGCCCAAGGCAGATGGACGCGGTTGCTTCATCAAAACATGAATTTTACTTAGGAACAAGTTCACAGTAAGTTTCATTAAAATCCATCTTAACATTCTCCAGATATTACAAAAAATATTTTTTTTTCAAGAACTTTGACGGTCAATAGCAGAGGAACCAGAAATTTTTTCTTAATTAAAGTTAGGTCAAATCGTCTTCTTTTGAGCCAAAGAATGTCGCAGTACCTTTTTGATCATGTGCTTATGGGACACCCTGTATATGTATAAAATTATCATATACAGGGTGTTTAAGGAAGACCTCCCGTAAATACAGGGGGTGATAGTACGACAAAAAATAAGAATTTTTTGTCTTCTGAACTATATGTCTATCTCCTGTTTTCGAGATACAGATCGACAAAATAAAAATTCTTAAATAGATTTTTTACGAAAATTTCCAAACGGTGCGAAATATTTTTATGAAATTTGGTATTCCGGGGTTTTTAAGGGACGCCAAATACGCTGGTCTAATTATTTTTTTGGATATTTCATAGAGGACGTTAGTTATGCCACATTCCCATTACATTTTAAGTTCTAATTTTTTTAAGGTTAGGTTTTTTACCATTCGGGCTCCAATTTGTAATGTACAATTTTATTTTCTAAAAATAATGTACTCTTGTTAGAACTTCCTAATGTGGACGATTTTCGAGAAAAAAGGCTTTTATTTAAACTCTTATGGTGTATAAAATAAGTTACTTTTCTCAAAGTAGGCTTATGTCAAAACTTATTGACAGATGTCTCAAACAACGCATTCATTCATAGTAATATTTTAAGCTCTAATTAACCTTATATCAAAATTTTAATGATTTTAGTGACTATAGTTAGTAATGAATAATTAATTAGTCACTAAAATTTTAAATTTTAAAAGTTGCCAGTTATCGACAATTTGACAGGGATATTATTTTCTTACCCATAAAGCTGGGATTTTTAGGTGAACAGTACACTCTTCCCACGATTGTCTGACCAGGGGAAAAATCTTGGTTCGGATTTTCTATCACTAGTACAAGCGACATTATAAAGAAGTTCTGAAACAAATATAATTGTTAAAAAAATGGTTCATTAACATAAGCTGTTCACGAACGTTTTAATGTTAATTACTTAGAATACATATTAATAATAAACATTTTAAATGACCAAAACCATTGCAAAAGTTTGCTTAACATTAAAAATAATCAGAATTGTTAAAAATTATTGAGAACTTCTGGAATGGTCTTTTATATAAAAACTCTACGCTGATGATTTAAAAATACGTTTGGCTGTAATCGACATAAACGATTGTTTATTGTATATTTTATTGTTGATTTTATTGGAAACAAACTACCTACATTTAAAAATTAAAGGATAAACAAAATCCTAAATTTTTAGGTGATTTGTTGCAATGGTTGTAGCGCAATAAAAAAAGCAAATAGAGGCTTGACGTTTCTAGTTTCAAGATCTGAAGGTCAAAAATTATTATCATTGACCAGCTTTAGGAAATCATAAGAAATCCAGCAGAAAAAAAATTTCAAAATGTTTGCTTCCCTTTTAAAGGGTCCACAGGCCTTAATAATTTTTGTTGGCAATCTCGCCTTTCAGCCTATTAGTTTAATTGAGCTGTTCAGTAGCTTTATACTATGATTTGTCGCTGAATGACCTTTTATTAATTTTTTAAATTGAATTTGTTTTCGCAAAAATTCATTTTTATTCATCAAAAAATGTTGAACAAAAAAAAAATTTATTTAAAAAGAAATATTCTTTCTTTAAATTTTTTATACAATATTCGCTACACAATCGTAAAAAAAACATTTTTTTTCGAAACTAACCCAAAAATCTTTCCTCTAGATTCGGAAAAATATATATTTTGACTGTTAATATTATAAAAATAATGTTTTTAATTCTTTTCCGATATTTACCATTTTTTGATGAAAAAAATATGGATTTGGTGTTTCACATCCAGTTAAAAAATAAAGGGTGTTCCATTCGAAAACAACTAAATTTTTGCATTTGAAAAAGATAACATTTTGTACGATTTTGTGAACACTTTGTATGACATTTATAAACAGTGAGATTAATGGTATACAGGGTGTTTGTAAATAAGTGCGAAATATTTTAGGGGGTGAAGTTATTTTGTGAAAAAAGTTCACAGAGTGTTTAAATTTTAATTTTTTATTTATTTATTATGTAAAACAATTTTAGATATTGACTTGAAATGTGATAGTTGTATTTTATTTAGAAATATACTAGATAATGTATCAATAGAAATTAAAGCAACAACAGTAAAATATGGTTTATGTTTTTCCTCAAAAAACGGAGCATCCTACGAAAAAATGAAGAGACCAATTTCATTCAGACTTGATGGCGTATTTCTAAAAATATATCAAAACGGGAAAAGTCAATGGCGTACGATTTTTTTTTATTAAAAAAATCTTGTGGTATTCTCGCACGAACCCCACTGGTGAAATATTCGTATCACCCCAAAAAATGCACATTTACCCCTCCAAACCGTTTTTCAAATTTCGAGTCAATATCTTTAAAACTCTGAAATAATTAACAAATAAATAAATAACTAAAATTTAAACACTCTGTATCTCGGAAACGAAGA